TATATATATATATATATATATATATATATGTGTCAGTGTAAACTACTTGTCGAAACGTTGTACATTTGCTGTTATGTTAAACTTATATTAAAATTTTTCTTCATTACCCATTCAAGCCGTCTCCAAGCATTATTAGTCTCAAAGTGGGTTCCTCGTCATCGAAATTGTAAGGAAAGTAAGCTTATTTTATCACCAACCAGAACTTAAAGGAAGAAAAAGAGTAACTTAAATGTGAATCTAACCTTTTCTTTTGTGGATGGATCTGTCTGGTTGTATAAAACTGCATACCGCTGATTTGGAGAGCAATCTTTGGATAGGATGTAACTGTATTCATTGTCCGGCAGAAGGAAGGTAACATTATCGAAAGTTCTGACGTAATCTTCCATCAAAGCGCATCCAGCTGTTAGAAAATATGGAGATAATATAATACCATTTAAAGCTCAAGTGATCAAAAAGGAAACTTTAACCATTCATTATGATATTTTCTTTTTATCTGAAGAAATCAACTTATAATTGGTAGATATAATGAAAATGAAACGAAGTATATAAAGTAGTTTCTTTTTTTCTTATTTTAAGTTTTTCTGAAATATGTTTTCACTTCTGTTCAGATTCATTATTTGTTTTAAATTTACTCAATATTAGCAAACGTCAAAGGACACTTGTTACAAGTTTTTTAAGTTAGCCACGGGATCTGTTTCCTATTTCACTTCTGATGAACTTTTTTTATAAAAAAACAACTAAACAACTTCACTTGTATCTATATTGTGTAAGAAAGCTCTGAGTAAGACATTAAATTTTGAACTGTGAACCAGAGGAAAGAAATTCAGTAATTAACAGAAGCAGTTACTCTTAACTGAATAGTAGGATTGTCTGTCACTCTTATGAAGCATCCACTGCTGAACTAGCAAAACGTGTTATGTGGTACCACGTCTCGAACCCGAGATCCTCGAATCCCCAGTCCAATACACTTAGGCCTTACTTCGTCGCATACATTAATAAAGAATGCCTGTTGACACAATATAGAAAAATACAAGCCGGAAATGTGATAGTTTTGAAAAGAGATAAAAAAAATTGCGAAAATAATAAAAAAATCGAACAACAGACGGAATTGTTGATTATTTATGTGAATTTATATTAAAGTCTTAACGTGTTGATATATTCAAACTCTTAGCAAGACGCAAAAATTACACACACTTACTTGTAGCTTCGTGATTCATGAAGATATTCATGTAGTTCGCTAACAAAGGGACTAATGTCGATTGAGGCTTTACAAAAGGTAAATAAATCTTAGTATAATACGTGTTCTCCTTTGGCGTCTGGATGTACAGATTAAACAAAGGCACTTCAGGTATTTGTTTTATAGCCACTAAGTTGACACTGATCCTGTTGCTTGGGTTGTGAGCAGAAACGGGATCATTATCCATGTACGGGTAATAAGTCTTCTTCATCAGTAAGTCCAGTTTCCTTGTTAAGTTCACCCACATGAGAGGAACCTATAAATACAGCTCAAAATCTGAAAATGCTGATCTTACATTGTACGTTTGGACGCTTAAATTTGCTTATAATTAGATAATCAAGTGTTGAATGTATTGGAACAAGATACCAACAACTCTGTAACTTCATTTAATTTAAAGAAATTCATCCATCAGTCGACATGTATCATACTTAAACTCGTCAAGCACTACTAATGTGCGATCATATGATTTTAGAAAATATCGAGATTTAATTGAGAAATTCAGTGCGACAAGCGTTCAAGTTAGTTAACTTTCTAACAAACCAGATGCGTACTTTTCCAAAGAAGTGGAAACTGAGATTGGTCAGGATTTGAACCCGCGAGTATATTTACAACCAATTGCTATCACATATCGGACGCCATAGCTTTAACTTTGAACAACGTATTAGTCTTTAAAAACCATTGAAAGGAAAAATGAGAGCTGAGTGTTTCGAATCGCGAGAGGTATTGTAGCTTAGTTGACTTAATCAGGGTCATAGACTCGAATATTACCTATCTCAATTTGCATTTCTTGTTCCACATAGCAGAAAAAGGATCCTGAGATCATAAGGCGATTTGAATAGTTTGTATGTACCCCATTTTGTTCCTAGTAACTAATGAAACTGATAATTACTAAATCTGAAGCGCTGTACGCCCAAAATCTGCACCATTTCAGTTTCCATTTTTTCAGAAGAGCTTACTATACAAGTCGATGTGTCACACCTAAGATAATTATTATAACTAAAGCAATTTTAGGTTCAATTCAACTTAATTTGTGTAGTCAAATTAAGCTAATAATAAACTTAAAAATAAGACCCAAAACTCGAGCGCTTTCGAATAGTTGACTATTCTTCTTCCTGAAGAAGAATAGTCAACTATT